ATACATATTTAATTTTAATTAAACAATTAATAAAATTAAAATTAACTTTTATTTCTTATAAAAATTAATAAAAAAATATGTAATTAATATATTCATAATACTCTCAAGACACGTATTAAAAAGACTCAACTTTTGTAAATGAAAATATAATTAATACACCTAGTACAACAATTACATATGGAGGTGTCGAACCATTTTAGTTATGCAATATGAAATGATTCCTCAATATATTTGTTGCATCGTTAAATACTTTGAACATGAATTGGATCGTTCCTTCTTTGATACGGGATCATCACATCATGCCACCACCAACCTTTCAAAGCTAACAGTTACTCTAACTGCATTAGCTTTTAATTAGGTGATAGTTCTAGTCAGAAAATTATATATGAGCATGACAATTAAGGTCTATATATTATTAAAAAAATCTTTTCTTTCATTTCATCATCAAATTTTTCTTGAGGATAATTTAGTAATATACCCTAAATCTCATCTATTCGTTTTTAGCAAAGTTTTAAGTGACAATGAAAATTAAACACGTATAAAACATTGACAGAGACATCAAGGCATTTGACGAAGACTTGACAAGGTCTTGAACACCAAGGAAAAAAAAGAAGGTAAGAAGCTATTTTACAACTTAAACACCAAAGTGTTAACGACGACTTGGATATTAGTGCCAACTCAATCAGGTCTTTTATTTTGTCATTTTGATTTCTTTTGTTTTGATAATGTTCCTGGGTCTTGCTTTAGTTTAGTTTGCATACTTTATATAGGGATAGCAATTCTCCTCGTTTCTCGTGGGGCTCCGCAAGGATCCTGCCACGAGAATGGGGCGGTAAAAAATATTCCTTCTCGTGAAACGGGGATGGGGATCATTTTCTCTCTGTGAAATTTCGCGGGGAGTTTTCCCCTCCCCGCGGGATCTCCATCCTCACAAAAAAAATGTTTTTATTTTAAAATTAATTTATCCTTTCAACTCAAACCCAAACTCAAACCCAAATTCAAACCCAAATCCAATCCAATTACAATTAAACATAACCCAACACTATTCAACCCAACTCAACCTAACCCATTCCCCTACATTTATCCCTAACCCTAATTTATTTTAATTCTCATCACTCTTACTCTCAAATCTTTTGTCTGCAGCTCACTCATCTCTCACCTTCTCAGTTTCCTTTGTTGTAGCTACTGTCGAATCCATCTCCACTGTTGTTTTCGGATCCATTTGCTCTGTTGCTGCTGTTGAAGACATCTGCTTTGTTGCTGTTGCTGCCGCCAAAGGTATCTGCTCTACTGCTGCTATTGGATGCATATGCTTTGCTGCTATTGGATGCATATGCTTTGCTGCTGCCAGTGCCAGATCCATCTGCTCTGCTGCTGTTGGATGCATCTGCTTTGCTGCTGCCAGGTCCATCTGCTCTACTGTTGGCCAAGTACACTTCGTTATCTTTTTGCCCTAAAAAGAATTTGCTATGTCCTTGATGCGGTGGCACTATACTGGTGTGAACATCTGGAAAATGCAATTTTGTCATTTCTAGTCTCATGACCTTTCATGAAATTCTCAATTTTTTTTTCTTTTTTAACTAAAAATCCTTGTTGGATTCTAACAAATCGAAACATTCAAGACTTTTTAAT